AACTATCGAATGACTTGATAGTTTTTATTCGATAGTGCCCATCACTACATGCCAAAAGCTTTGCCCTAACATGCGGGCAGAAGTCCATTACAGACAATTCCTTCCGTTTATTTATTTACATATGTATGTATGGATGTATATTCAAATTTTGTTGTTTCGACAGAAATATATTTCTTTGGTTTGTTTGAAAATAAAAACAAACAAATGCGAAATGACGGCGAGAGAAATTTTCAAAATGCTAGAAAACGTCAAAATTCTTAAAGTGGGCTCTCAGCGATTGTACCTTATAAATATTTGTATCATGGTCGCAACCACGATACAAAAAACAAGGTAGTTCCATTGTCACTTTTTCGTCGCCATATTAACAACCTGACAATTAAGCAGATTGTGACATTTCGTGCTACCATATCCAACATCTAAAATCATTCAAATGTTCTTATTAATTTTTTGTCGATTTAAAAATCTTTGTTCTTAGGCATAGTATTTTATTCCTATTTCACGTGAAAAAGCTGTTAAATTGCAAATAAAATTTCTTTCTGTGAAATAAGTGTGAAATTCCACAACATTTCCTCAGCAAAGTAGTATTCTGTTCACGCTGTGAAAAAGCTTGCAACATTTTTGCAAAATGAAGCCAGCAACACAACTGTCATGACATTTTTAAATACACATGTACATTAAAGTGGTCCAAAAATGTATGTAAAAAAAAAATCGAAAAATATTGATTTTAAAGAGTTTTATACCATTTCTACGAAAAATTGTTGTTTCTGCATATAAAATACATGGAAAACTTTGAGCACTCCCTAAATATTTTTTGATTTCAAAATAAAAAAATAGGGGTATATTTTTTCGATATAGATCAATCCTAGGGTGTGCCGGCATTAAAACTCCGACTTTATTTTTTTAGACCACTTGGGGTTAAGTGGTTAAACCTTACCCAAGCCGATCGTAAAACTTGCGACGCAATTTCGGTTTATGCCTGTCGGTCTTGGCAAGAATGTGTGAATGGCATTTTAGCCTATACCCATTCTTGGAAGGTTTGTGTCCGAAATTTCAAAAAAATGTCTATAGCCGGTGTGGGCATTGTGACTCCTCAAGGGAAATTAACTAATGATTGCAAAAAATGAAATCAAACGTCGTAGTTGACCAATAAAGAACATAAGACTTAATTCTCTCAACTTCTCAGAATGTAGAAAAGCTAAGAAATATATAATAAGATAGGATATATTAAAACAGCCTCCAGAACATTTACCAAAAGACGCCCCTGAACTACACAAATCAGTTTGATTGAAAATTTGTTTTTATCTATTTATTTTATACTTCACTTTTGGGTGTGTCAAAACTTCATCTGAAAACAATATGTGTTGCTGGAAAATTTTCGCGGCCCGTGGGCCACAAAGTAAAATCCATTTGCTGTTAAATAAACAAAGACAATATATATTAAATAACACATCGAAATGTATAATTTCAGTGTCTCAATTATATCAGAATCATTGTATCCGATATAGAAAACTACAGTGTGAAATAATCAGATGACATGAGGACACTAAAAAAAATTTTAAATATGTTCACTAACATTGTATTAATATTAAAATAATGTTTTGGCAAGTTGTTATCGAATTTAATGTAAACTTTAAACGTTTTTAAGATAAGATATTAATTATATTTATAATCCCAAATCTCCCACACCAAAAAACTTACAATTGGGTAACGCCGCTTCGATTTTTTCACAATTGAGCAATTGTCAAAAATCTGATTTTTAATCAAAAAGTTGTTTATTGAAACTACCTTCTTTTTTGTATCATGGTCGCAACTATATGTACATAGATACTTGCGCGCCTATTTGTATAACATCGGATAGGTTGATTTAAATTCCTCCCATTCCTCTAACGGATTGGATTTTAAAGAGCAGACGGGGTTTGATAAATAAAGCTACAACTCATTACCTTTTGTAGAGTGTTTTCGTTTTTGTCCAATCGCGAGCTTTTTATGTTGGTACCAAGAGTCAAAATCTTCTTTAACAACGTCTTCTTCGGAGCTGGTATTAGCGTCTCCTTGAATAAGACATTTTAGTTTAAAAATTGCCCGACCGCAAGCGTTCGTATTTTAAAAATGAAGATTCTTGAAGCGATGATCAAGGATAGTTCCTAAAGCTGCGTAGGTGTTGTATTCAATGAGACCAAATCTTTTACTACACTCCGCCAGGAGTTTCGTTTGTAGTTGGGTGACACAATCAAGAGTTGTAGAAATTTTACTCACTTGAGATGTTAGGCAGTTAACCATAGGTATGATCTCGGAAAGTGTGACATAATTCTGTCCTGAAGATTCTTTGGTTACGAACTCGAAAGGCTTCAGTAGCTGAACTATTTGTATCAGTATTTCTATTTCATTTTTATACCCGAGCGCACTTGTGCACAAGGGTATAATAACTTTGTTCACATAACGGTTGTTTGTAACAGGCAAAACGAATCGAGATAGATATAGACAAATGTATACATTAATGATTAGAATGAAAAGAGAAATCGATTAAGCGGTGACTGTCTGTCCGTCCGTTCGTCCGTCCGTCCGTCTGTGCACACGATAACTCGAGTAAAAATTGAGATATCTCAACGAAACTTGGTACGTGCACTTATTTCTGCCGTAGGACGGATGGTATTGAAAATGGGCAAAATCGGACAATAACCACGCCTACTTCCCATATAACGGTAATTTTCAGAAATACGAAAACTGCCATATTTTAGCTACTACTAAAGAATATTCACTCAAAATTGATATTTACAATAAGTTTTAGACGAGAAATAAGAATATTATAAATTTTTGGAAAATGGGCGTAACCACGCCCACTTATGGTTACATGTGTATATCTTGGTAACCGCTGCACCAATTTCTTCCAAACTTGGCACAATTGGTGGCCTTGACATAACCTACGAAATGGCCGAAAACTTTTAAAATCGGACAATAACCACGCCCACATCACATATAACGGTAATTTAGAGAAATACGAAATCTTCAATAAATCGGTAAATATTGAAGCTAGTGTATTCAAAAATGATGCTTGCAACAATTCTTTACCAAGAAATACGTTTATGATAAAATTTTGGAAAATGGGCGTGGCACCGCCCACTTATGATCATATATATATATATCTCGGTAACCGTTCTACCAATTTGTACCAAACTAGGTGTGGTTATTGTACTTGCCACATAGAAGCAAAACGCTGAAAATTGTTGAAATCGGACTAACATTACGGCCGCTTTTCATATAACGGTAAATTTCAGATATGCTTGAAACTTTAATATTTCGAAATTTAAGGACGCTAATTTACTCAAAATTGATACACCCCGGCTTACCATCTAGCGGTAGCTTTCGGAAAGGTGAAAAACATATATTTAATAATTTATTTTGGAACGAATTTCCGTCATCCCTTGTCAAGTTTGGTTTGCAGACAAACCGGTTTCGGCGTTGTGCCATCTTCAGTGTCATTTTTCGTTCTGTCTGGTTCGAGATTTGTCCCTAAGTTATGTTCATTTATCTTAGTTAATGTGATTTTCGTCGATGATTAATTACTGGATATGCCATGGTGCCCATTTTTTTGAAGCAGGTAATAGGTTCATCTTCGCTGTTTCGATATTAACATCCATTATGTTGTCGCTGTATGGTTTTTGCCTGCAGGTAGGTAAAAGTCAGTGATTTTTGCCCTGGTGGTGCTTTTTGGTGTGTTCAGAGTGTCCATGCCTGTTGTTTTGTTGTCATTTTTCTTTTTTTTTCGTAAATCAATTTTAAGGGTTCGAATATAACATCCGATGCGGTATTTGTTTGTTCGTTTATTATTTTGCCGTCGAAGGTTTTTAGTTTGTATATTTCCATATTTTCTAGGACGTTTAGTCGTTGGCCTTTATGTTGTACATGCAGTAGTTTCGCTGTCTTTCTTATTTGCGTTGGTGAACATTTGTTGTTAAACATGTGGTTAGCAAAATTTGACTCTGGTATTGCGCTCGGTTTCTGTGTCTTTTTGTTATAGTCTCTTATATGCTCGCGGAATCTTGTTTTTATTTTACGTCCTGTTTGACCTATGTAACTATGCTGGCATTTGCAAGTTAGTTTATAGACTCCTTGTTTATCCAATGGATCTTCTTGATTTGTGGTGTTCCGTAGTATCCGTCCCACGTTGTTATTTGTTCTGAATGATGTGCGAAGGTTGTGTTTCTGGAACAGCTTTGCAAGTTTGT